CTGCCGAGAGAAGCAGCAGATGTTTGTGAACAAACTGTCTGTTTCATCTGATTTCACCATTTAAACAGTAACCGTAATATAGCTACTCCTTTGTGGCCCGGGGAGAAAGTCCCAGACTCCCTTCAACAATCCTGCAGTTTAGTGACTTGTTGAGTTAGAGGACACTTTAGAAACTTTGTGAAACGCTGTCTACGACTAATTCTTAATGATTCTGCCTTCCTGTAAATTCAACATTAAATGTAACACATGAAGTTATTTCTGTCTTTGTTGTACAAAAAGCTTCAGCAGGATATTTTCATGAGCCTCTGATGTGATAATAACAAGCGCTTCATTAAAACTCTGCTCTGTGTGAAGCACACTCCCTCATACACATCAAATATGATCAGCTGGTTTCAGGAAACCAACTAACTAAACTTCATCTTCTGCCTGAAATCAAGGAGCCATGTTTCTAAACGGCCTTAGCGACAGTAACTAAGGGGCGGGGCGAGACGCCGTGACATCGCGAGAACACTCCGCGGGATCCCGCAGCGCTCCTGTATCTCAGCCTGAAGAGCTCCGAGACCAGAATCCAGACTCAGTCCAGGACAACACGGTCCACCAGTCACAGCGGAGACCTGCAGGACGATGGAGAACCAGAACCCGGACCGCAGGAGCCAAACAGCAGCCTCGTGCTCTGATAGCACCGATGTTCAGGTCAGTGTTCATGACTTCATCACGAGACTAAAGACACGAGGAAGAGTCTCGAGGGTCCGTGTATCATCCGTTCATTCTGTTGTTAGAGATCAGAGCCTGAAAACCCGCTCCAGGGTTTGTGTTGACGTGGTTTGATTTCCAAAGTGTCTCCGTGATTCCTGTTTTCATCTTGAAGAGAGGAAGCTGAAAGAAAAACTCACGAGCGTTTCTCTTTACTTTGTGATGTTGGGTTCTGCACATGCGCGTGCAGCACGTGTCATGGCGGAGTGTCATGGTGAACCTTCACTGTGGCTTCACCGCTTGTTTCTTTGTTCTTGGGTTTCCCGCGCGGCGCATGCGCGGTGCAGCACGTGTCAAAGCGGAGCGCGCAGAACAATCAGTGGCCCAATCCCAATGTCCACCTTCACAGACTTTGAGGCGCGTTCCCACTGTCAAATCGTCAAGTGCGCGAGGGCTCTGTCGCGGACATTTTGAGCCCTTTATAGACCATTTTCGTAAGTCCGAATTTCTGCAGACTTTGGGTGAGGGAATTTCCCACAGTTCATAGCGGTATGACGTTTTAACTTAAACACGAAGTCAGAGGAATGCAGTTGCCGTATTACACACTTAGTTTATTCAACTATTTATTTTAGTTTTTGCTTAATGATGCTATTTGACCAACAATAGTATATTGATTGACAAATATGTGTTGACATTTAGGCCACCTCTCCTCCACTCTGTAGGGCGAGATGTGCTGTCCCGTTCCCGTATACAGCATTTTGAGTCCTCGCAGCCTCTTAAACTTAAACTTATCACTTTCCAAGTGACATCAGTAAAATCTGTGAGGGTTCAGGGCTTAGGGTTTGGGGGGGACATTGGGATTTGGCCAATGATCCGTCTGAATGATCTGTGAGGAGGATTTCTTGTTAACCTTCACTATGACTTCACTGCTAATTGTTTTGGTTTGATTGATTTGATCTGCTTTAGAAAAATATTATTAGGGTAATATGGGGTAAGAGCCCCCAGTTTAATTCTTAAAAAAACCACAATGTCCCAAACAAAATTCTCAACAGGTTCTTGCTGCCGCAAGTCTTACCCAGCTAAAATTTCCTCTGTTTCATCACAATTATTGTCAAGTTATTTGATCAAAGCAATTTTGACATAAGCTGATCAAATATTTCAGTAATTTAAAATAAGCTGTAGATACAATCTAATTGTGTTCAATTAAGATCAAATCAAAAGTCCACAATGTTGAGGATGAGCCATTGCATTTTGCTGCCCCTTTCGAATCACAAGCCTCGATATGCGCTTCACAAAAATCACCCCAGATTACTCGACACACTTCGAAGCCTTGAAACGGAAGGACACATCAGTACGATAGAATGCTTGATTCTCTTTCACGCTATCACAGTTGGTTTTGGTCTAAAATGGCACAAACAACAACATGGTTCTATTGGCTTTGTACTTTGCAAAAATGAACAGTATAAGTACTGTAGGAAAAGCAAGGATTATACCTAGCGTGCCTTTTTAAAAAGTCGTCTTTAGTGCAAAAGGGGGTTACAATTCAGATTACTTACAAAGATGTACAAATATGTTAAATGATGAATCTGCTGATGTTTTGTAAAAATGTTCTGGTGTTTGTATTGATGTCTCTTAAATTTAACCATGTAATAATTAGCCGGGTAATATCTGAATTATTCTGAACGACACTTCCCTCACCTTGTTACTATCAGGTATCTGTGAGGAATAATCCAAACTTTTCCAATAAAATATAACATTTATTTCTGAAACAAAGCACGAATGTTCTTATTATATTATGCCCTATCCACACTACTCCGTCTCAGTTTAGAAACAGAGAATTAAAACAGATACGATCTCTGTTCGCACCTGTGTTTTAGAGTTGATATCATTCTCCATTAAAACGACTGAAAACACACATCTAGTGGCCATACACATGAAGCAGATGGTCGATTTCGTACTTACAGAAGATTTGGTGAAAGTATAAAGTAATGCAGACGAAGAATCAAAACAGATTTTTCTGCATGGACAAATAACGTGCCAGTCTTCACTAAAACGCCCTCCGGAGTTTTAAAAATGAAAAACTTTAACAAAACAGTTCACCTCAGGACCGGGAGGTAGAGCGCACTCCTCTGTGGGTTCTCGTTTTGTCTTTAGTTTAGCCAAGCTTAACTTTCCTGTGTTTGAAATGCGGCAAGGTTTTACAATCACAATGTCTGGTCAACCATCGACCATCTGTCAGCCATCACCGATGGACGATGGCATTGTCTAATGCAGGGTTCCCGCGGCTCCTTTAAAAAGTGTTAAAATGTCTTAAATTGAAATCGGGGACATTAAGGTCTTAAATTTACCGCAAATTTCAAAATCTATAACTACAGGTTAAAATAACTTTCTGAAGTGTGTCTTTCACCGTGATTTGTTTTCCTCCATGGATTATTTACCTCTCTTCAGTGTCATGGGAGGTTCCCCGGCAGTCTGGGCCTATAGCAGCATAACTAAAGGATGGTTCAGGACTCACCTGAGCCAGCCCTAACTATAAGCTTTATCAAAGAGGAAAGTCTTAAGCCTACTTTTTAATGTGGAGATGGTGTAAGATAAGAAAGGTATTGTAAGCTCTTTAAGATGGTGCCTGACCATTAAGAGCTTTGTAGGTAAGAAGAATGATTTTAAATTTTATTCTGGATTTTACTGGAAGCCAATGCAGAGAAGCTAAGACAGGAGAAATGTGATCTCTTTTCCTGATTCCTGTTAGAACATGTGCTGCAGCATTCTGGATCAGCTGAAGAGTCTTAATGGACTTTTTCGAGCAGCCTGATAATAAGGAATTGCCGTAATCCAGCCTAGAAGTAACAAATGCATGGACTAGTTTTTCTGTATCATTTTTAGACCGGATGTTGCTGATTTTTGCAATATTACATAGGTGAAAAAAGGCGGTCCTTGAAATTTGCTTAATGTGAGACTTCAATGTCCTGATCAAAGATAACTCTAAGATTCCTCACAGTGGTGCTGGAGGCCAGGGCGATGCCATCCAAGGAAACTCTATCCAGATAATGCACCACGGAGGTGTTTGGGCCCAATAACTTCAGTTTTAGCTGAGTTTAACATTAGAAAATTACAGGTCATCCAGGTTTTAACATCCAGAAGGCACATTTGAAGTTTAGCTAACTGATGAGTTTCATCTGGTTTGATCGATAGATAGTATCATCTGCATAACAAAGAAAGCTTATGGAATATTTCCTGATAATATTCCCTAAAGGAAGCATATATAAAGTGGATTGGTCTGAGGACAGATCCTTGAGGAAGTCCATGACTAACTTTGGTGTGCATGGAGGATTCATTGTTAACATGTACAAACTCAAATCGATCTGATAAATAGGACTTAAACCAGCTTAGAGCGGCAGCCGGTGAGGGAGGAAGGAGGGAAAAAGCTCCGCACACCAAACATCTCGCAGTCTGCCCGCACCCCCAGAGTCCTTTAGGTGTGTGTAGTGAGACATAATCTGAGGGGGGAGGTGGAGGAGGTCATAGGGAGGCTTGGTAGGAATGGTCCAAATGCTGGGGCCAGGTTCCTGAAGGGCCCCAGCATTTAGTCCCTCAAGCCCAGGGCTAGAAGCAAGAGACCCTTGATCACCGCCAGCAATGGAATAAATTCAGTTAGGCTAAAGCTATCTGTCCATCAGGGAACTCAGTCAATCACAGAGTTGAGGCAGAGCAGCCAGGGGACATCAGTGAGAAAACCAAACCAGATATTTTCCATTAAATATGGAAATATAATATATCCAGTTTCCACAATCAGTGAATAAAGTTGTGCTTTTGTACAGTAAACAGTGGTGTGCAGTCCCAGAAATATATATTTTTTTACCCGCCGCATTTATTTGTACATTTAAGTAACAAGTAATCAGGTTACATTACTTTTATTTTGTGCTAATGGGATTACGTTACTAATAACATTTTTAACAATTGTACTGGATTACATTTTTAAAGTAATCCTCCCAACCCTGGTGATGATCAGTCAACTTGCTATAGAGGTCTGTGCCACCAGGGCCCTCTATGGACACACCCCTGCAGTTGTTTGTCACAGGTGGTAATGCATTAGTCAGACTTTAACATTGTGGGTTATTTTCCACAGACATGCTCTAAATATAATTTATGGTTCTAGAAAGCTTGCTCCACCATGACTTCTCACTCAGTGTCTTTCTCTCTGTATGTCCGATATAGAAATGGCGAGGACAAGATGTACTCAAACGTCATCGCTGTCAGCACATTGACAAATCCTTCACAACATCTGCAAATTTAAAGATTCGTCAGAGACTGTACAGCTGTGACGAGTGTGGGAAAACTTTTACTCAGTCAGGTAGCCTAGGAATCCACAGACGTGTTCACACCGGAGAGAAGCCGTACAGCTGTGACCAGTGTGGGAAAGCTTTCAGTAGAACTGGTGACCTGGCAATGCACAGACGTGTTCACACTGGAGAGAAACCGTACAGCTGTGAACAGTGTGGGAACGCTTTCACTAGAACAAGTGACCTGGTAAAGCACAGACGCATTCACACTGGAGAGAAACCATACAGCTGTGACCAGTGTGGGAAAGCTTTCACTAGAAAACATGACCTGGTAAAGCACAGACGCATACACACTGGAGAGAAACCGTACAGCTGTGAACAATGTGGGAAAGCTTTCACTAGAACAGGTGACCTGGCAACGCACAGACGCATTCACACTGGAGAGAAACCGTACAGCTGTGACCAGTGTGTGAAAGCTTTCATTACAAGAAGTGATCTGACAAAGCACAGACGCATTCACACTGGAGATAAACCGTACTGGTGTGACCAATGTGGGAAATCTTTTAATACATCAGGTTATCTTTATGTCCATCAACGTGTTCACACTGGAGACAAACCGTACTGGTGTGACCAATGTGGGAAGGCTTTTACTGCATCAGGTTATCTAAAGTTGCACCAACGCGTTCACACAGGAGAGAAGCCGTACAGCTGTGACCAATGTGGGAAAGCTTTCACTAAATCATGTTATCTAAAGTTGCACCGCTGCGTTCACACAGGAGAGAAGCCGTACAACTGACCAATGTGGAAAAACTTTTCTTAACATTCATTCTCTTAATACACAAGAACATTCACAATGCATTGTGCTAAACATTTCGTTTCTAGAGCCAAGCTGTGTATTGCCTCCTGCTTCTCCTCCCATTGCCCTAAATCCAAACACTTGTTATTATGTGACTATGATGGAGTAGTAACATGTGATGACACTTGGCTCACAAGAACGAGACGAGATTTCAATACTATTTTTTTAGAAATCAAGCTGAACTATATGAATTTATATGTCCTGCTTTCTGGTTAAAATGTCTGCAACAATTTATAGTAGAAATCTTTATCTAAAGGGAAAAATTCAGGTGGCAGTTGACAATTCAAATGCTACAGAACCTCAAGCAGTGCAGCAATCAGTCATTCTGTGCTGCTTTCAGATCTGTTTCTCATGTGATAAACTTTTCTCATGAAATATCATCCCTGCTGAGTCATAATTTAGTCTTCCCTCCTCTTTGTGTCTGTTTTTGGGGAAGGAAGCTCTTTAAATGTGCGTGTGGCACCTTTTCACCTCCAATGAGAAATGAAAAAAACTTCTGCCCATTCAGACTCTCTCTCACATATGTGTTCTCTGACATGTCCAGGAAAAAAATCATTATATTACGAGAGTAACTTCATCATTTAATGAGAATTCATAATATTTTAAGTCTACCTGCCCTTTACCCTGATGTGCATTACGTTTTTGCTCCGCTGGTAGTATCCCTTTCAGACCATTTGACTGACAAAGTTTTGGACTGCATGTTGTAAGTGAAACCAAAATTAAATGAAAACACATCAGGCAGAAATCTCTCCACAAATCCACACGTTAACTTCAGCACCTCAATCAAGTGCAGCTCACTGTCCCACACAGATCAAAGTCTACCAGCTACGTTACCACTTGGTCACAACTGTAGGGACTCCTTGTGCAAGAGCAGGTTCACTTGATTACCATCACGGCATACGCTGGTGTCGTTTCAGGTGGGAGGAGTTAATTTGCTCCACCAGCTGATGTTATCAATTATAAATTTGTTTTTCATTCCATGAGATAATTGTGTGTCTGTGACACTGATGATTTTGACCAGTCGGCCTGAATAATGCTTTGATCCCCTAGCTGGCTCACTACTAAAGAATGTCTCTGTTCTACAAAAACAGCTAAAGCTAATTTATTCTATCTACTAAGGATGTCTGCTTAAACAGTAAGATGAGAGCATTCATTGATGAACGGACAGTTTGTTATAAACTTAAAGTGACCATGGGACGGCCAAAGGGGGAACTGTAATGGAAACAAATGGATTTTACCTGTATGTACTTTTATTAATCCTCTATATGTCATTACCTTATGTTCTTTGCTCATCTTATGTGGTGTTATAATTTCCACTTAGTGTACTAGTGTTTTGATATAATGACCTTCTGTGATTGTTTTGTCTCAGGCTTTCCTGTAAGAAAGGAGTTTCCACTGTGGATCAAGGCTGAGAAAGGCTTTTCTGTTAGACTCCACAATTATTCTCTAGCATTAAATGTATTCTCTGTTTCTCTGGGTCAGACTCTAATCTCTAAACACCTCTGGTGAATGAGCTCTACCCAGGGTACCCCCGGGGTCTTAAAAGTATTAATATAGTGTTAAATTTTGAATTCTAAAAATAAGGTCTTAAAAGCATTAAATTTTATTTACATGGTTGTTGTAAATTCCGTATTTATTGCTGTGTTTTTTTTGTGCAGCAACGGTTCGGTGCTGAATTTAGTGTTTTTACATCAGGCACCTTGTTGGGCAGCTAAGAGGTCCTTGGGAACATAATATTGAGCCGTATGACATTCTGGTTCATTTCACAGTGATGTCAGTCTGTGTTTGTGATGAAGATGGGTTGTAACAATCCGTTAATGATTGGTAATTAGTTATTTTGATATGCATGCGCTAATATAATGTTACTAACGTAGCAGTGTTTATTTGATATTTAACGTGCTAACTGACTTGGTAATTTTTCAGTGAGTTAAATGTGCTCATTAAGCTAGCACACCTTCTCATGTTTATTGTCTTTTGTTTATTGCCGATACCAATTTTACGGAGTCAATCAGACCAATGTAAAGTCTCAGAACAGACAATAGAGATTAATGAAATCTGCATCTCCATAAAGTTGGTCAGCAGCAGGAAGCATGAAGTGCTCTAAAACGTCCTGGTAGACTGCTGCGTTGACTTTGGATCTCAGAAAACACAGTGGACCAACACCAGCAGATGACATGGCACCCCAAACCATCACTGACTGTGGAAACTTTACAGTGGACTTCAAGCAACGTGGATTCTGTGCCTGTCCTCTCTTCCTCCAGACTCTGGGACCTTGATTTCCAAAGGAAATGCAAAATTTACTTTCATCAGAGAACATAACTTTGGACCACTCAGCAGCAGTCCAGTCCTTTTTGTCTTTAGCCCAGGCGAGACGCTCCTGACGCTGTGTCTTGTTCAAGAGTGGCTTGACACAAGGAATGTGACAGCTGAAAACCATGTCTTGCATACGTCTGTGCGTGGTGGTTCTTGAAGCACTGACTCCAGCTGCAGTCCACTCTTTGTGAATCTCCCCCACATTTTTGAATGGCTTTTGTTTCACAATCCTCTCCAGGGTGCGGTTATCCCTATTGCTTGTATATTTTTTTTTCTACCACATCTTTTCCTTCCCTTTGCCTCTCTATTAATGTGCTTGGACACAGAGCTCTGTGAACAGCCAGCCTCTTTAGCAATGACCTTTTGTGTCTTGCCCTCCTTGTGCAAGGTGTCAATGGTTGTCTTTTGGACAGCTGTCAAGTCAGCAGTCTTCCCCATTGTGTAGCCAACAGAACTAGACTGAGAGACCATTTAAAGGCCTTTGCAGGTGCAGGATTTGAGTTAATTAGCTGATTAGAGTGTGACACCAGGTGTCTTCAATATTGAACCTTTTCACAATATTCTAATTTTCTGAGATACTGATTTTGGGGTTTTCATTAGTTGTCAGTTATAATCATCAAAATTAAAAGGAATGAACACTTGAAATATATCAGTCTGTGTGGAATGAATGTAAACATTATGCAAGTTTCACTTTTGAATGGAATTACTGAAATAGATCAACTTTTTGATGATATTCTAATTATATGACCAGCACCTGTATAGTTAAAGCAGCCTTTAGATGCAAAACCGGAACAGGATGAATAATCACTGAAGCAACTGGCACTTACATTGGCATATTATATTCATAGGTGTCAAACGCTAGGGACATTTTGTCCCCATCACTTTTTTTTAAAGCATAATTTGTTTAAAAAAAACAAACTGAGTGCGGCCAGACAGGTATGATGTGAACCAGTTCAGTGATGTGTTGATGATACCAATGGAGGCTAGACGGTATCAAAGGTAGCAGACAAATCGAGAAGGATGAGTATGGTAAGATGACCAGAATCAGCAGCCATTAGTAGGTCATCGGTGACCTTTATTAGGGCAGTTTCTGTGCTATGGAGAGGCCGAAACCACATTGAAACTGTTTATAGAGGTTATTGTTGATGAGATGATTATGGACCTGCGCAGCAACGTTTTTCTTTTCAAAGATTTTTGAGGTAAATGGCAGGTTGGAGATTGGTCTGAAATTATTTAGGTCGTTGGGATTTGCACCAGGTTTCTTTAGTACAGGGTTAATAGCCGTAGTTTTGAGAGAGGAGGGGACATGAGCAGAAGTAAGAGAGGAGTGGATGATGGTAATTATAAGAGAGAAGAGGGAGGGTAGGCAGATTTTAACTAGGTGGGTAGGGAGAGGGTCAAGGTGGAGGACTTGGATTTCCAGACTAGGTCAGATATTTCAGTGACAGTTGGGAGTAGGAAACTAGATAATAAAGTAGAGTGGGGCAGAGGTAGGTGGATAAAGTGCACTGTTATGTGAGGTGGGCAGCTGTTGATGGATGTTGTCAATTTCCAATCATGTGGACAAACAACGCATGCTCTGTCGAAAGACGGCATCATGTTAAAGTTAGCTAGCTGTACTGGAGAGATTTTTTACTGGCTATAAAACACATAAACAGATGGCTGGCTTCATAAAAACATGGCAAAATCAACAACAGATAATATTCAACCAAAGAAATCTAGCTTAACCTTTACGTGCTTTTCAAGTAAGTTAGCACTGTTTTGTCCACGGACATTCACAGACACGTTACTTAAGGGGAAATCCTCCGTTGCTTTGAGGATTACCCATAATCCTTCCTGGACATTACCTGGAGACCTGGAGTGCTTGAAGTGGGGAAAAAATAGGTGCCAGTACAGTGATTGGTCGGTTCACGACAAGTGACATTGACGAGCTACATTCAGAACACTGCTGCTTGAAAGGCACCCAAGCTTCTCTTCTCCCTCGTCTCTCTCTGCCGACTGAGTTTAGCAGGCAGGTAAGATCAGGAACAGGTGAGTGTCACGTAGCGCCCAGAAAACCTGATATGGAGAGGGCAGAGAAGAGTACCGGCAGCTTGGGAAAAGTCCCGGTACGCAAGAAAATAAAGAGTAAAATGTCGAGGTGCCGGTACCGCATACTGGGGCATTCCGGCCCACTTCAAGCGCTGCTTGGAGAAAAGAAAAGAACTTATTGAAGTAACCAACCTCATTGGAGGGTCCTGAGTGGATGAAACGAGGCCAGAAACCAGAGGGGTCAGCAGCAGCAGCTATGAGCAAACATCCCATAACTCAAACATTTAAAGAGGCATCACCCAATCGTTTGAGGCCGGAATGTGTATCATGTTCACCATCGTAGCTTAGAATGTTAGCATGCTAGCATGAGCTAATTAGCAGTGAGGCTTATGTCATTAGGTCTGCAGGTGTTTGGTCATAAAGTGTTGACTCCCAGGCACTCTTGGCAGACACTGGGCCTTTGTCATTTCCCAAATTTCTGCCTCCTTGATCCTCAATCTTCGAGCATGTGACCTGGAAATCAATCTTAGTGCGCCATCTTGAAGGACATCTCAATTCTTAAAATGCACATGGAGGAGTGAGGAGGCTTGTTGGAGGAGCTATAAGCGAGGATAAATCGGTGTATCCGTTGCAGAAGTTTTTGTCAGCCGCTATGACGTTTAAAAGAGGTGTGACATGCAGCTGGACCAACCCATATATTCATAAGTTGTATAAGTTAAGCCTATTAAAAATAATTAAAACGTGTTCAAACTTTCAGCCCTTCACCATTTGTGTAGTGCCTCATAAAGCGCTGTTCTAACCGCATTCCTTACTGTCATTTCACTTTGATATCACTGATGTTATTGTTGAATGTGATGTGTGGATGGGCAGCAGGATTGTAAAAATTAACATTAAATAGCGGCTGGATGAAGCGCCTCCCCAATGACACAGTGGCAATTTATGCACGAGCCACAGCAACATAAATTACTAATTAAAAATCTCCTGACACGCTGACAGGATTGGTCAGGATCTGATGTTAATTTATGTTCTAAGTTCTTCTAAATATCCAAAAGCTCTCACACACAGTCCAGTTTCATACTGGATAACTGGAGTAAAGCAGCCGTCCTCCTGATCAATGCTGAGCTCCATCAGTCTAAACATGGATTATGGAAGGTGAAAGTTTAATTCTGTTTCCTCTGTCCTGTCAAGTTTATTACTGCAGGTTTTTTCTGTTTTGCCTTGTGATATTTGCTGTGACATTACTGCATGGATGGAAATATTTAACTGACTCACAGCAGCCTCTAATCATCAAAGTAAATTGTTAAGGAATACACTCATAGTAGGCTACATCAATAACACACAAGAAACGATAAATAGTAAATAGTGAGAAATGCCATCACGGAGCCCAAAGTGACCCCTTCACAATGCTTGTTGTGTCCAACCAACTGTCCAAACCACAACATTAATAACAAACATTCAAATGAATGTTTTGAGTAGTAGAGTGTGGTGTGGAGGATTTATATTGTGTACCAGAAAACTTTCAATAAATAAAACATTATTAAAATAATAGTATAAACTGTTGGGTAGTTTAATTTATAACAAAACATCATATTTTATGAACCTTTCATGTGGTTGAGTGTAAATATTTTAATTTGTAAAGTAACTAGTAACTAAAGCTGTCAGATAAATGTAGTGAAGTACAATATTTCCCTCTGAGATGTGGAGTAGAAGTAGAAAGTAAAGTACAAGTACCTGAGTGTTGTACTTGAGTACAGCAGTGGAGTAAATGCAGCTGTTGTGTTGTGATAGAGAATGAGTGCATCTGTTCACGCTGATTTCGATAGCAGATAGCTTATTATAATGTTCATTGGTATCAATCTTAATATTTATTCAGCAGTTCTCAGATGAAGCTCTTCCTTTATGGTTTTTATAATGTTGTTGGAACCAACAACTCATCCTGTTTCACATCAACACACTCACAGCTGGATGGAAAACAAAGAGTTAACAGAGCCTATATAAGCAGCTTCATGATCCTGGATATCCAGGACGGCCATTGTTAGATTTAGTGAGACCAGATCACCCAGACTCAGATAAACTGGCTTCAGGATTCAGGCCCCAGATGTGAGGGAGCAATAAAGATTTATTGCATTTCTGATTTGGATTCCACACACATGGAATCATTTTCATTTGCTGAATCATCATGAAGACGTTCAGAGCCTCTGCTGCTGCTGTTATTCCCTTTTACACTTCTGGAGGAATATTAATATTAGAATTTCCACTTTTACTGTCCATCAGATCGGCCGACCAATCAAAAAGCAGCCTGTTTCTGCCCGGTAACAGACGTCCTCATAGGATCCAGCTGGGGCTCCTCTCTGCTCCACCTGTGAAAGTGAGGGGAACATCCTGGATGATGGAGGAGCTCGGTGGATCTCTGGGTCACCGGCTGGAGGACGGAGGAAGCAGAATGACCCAGAGACAACATGCTGCCTGTGAGGACGTCCCAGCAGAGACACGGAGGGGAGGGTTACACCATCACTATACATCTGTGTCACATAAACATCACATGACACAGCAGTCTTTCTACAACACTTCCTCACTGACATCAGCTTGTTGTGTGGAGACATTTGTCTGTCCAGCTTCCTGTTGGCTGTTTGACTCTAGTGTTAGCGGAAGGTGCTGACTGTGATCAGAGCTACAAGCTGCATTTCAGACACATGTTCTTCAACATTACAAAACATTTTTGTAACTGATGAGACCAAGATTAATCTCCAAATCGCCAAAGTGCTGGAAAGGCCAGAGTGTGGAGAAAGAAAGGAACTGCTTATAATCCGAAGCACAAGCTCATCTGTGAAGCATGGTGGAGGTGATGTCATGGATTAATATTTATTGATGATGTAACTGATGGTGGTAGCAGCAGAATTAATTCAGAAGTGTACAGAATCATTTTGCCTGCCAATTTACAGAGAAATGCATTGAAACTAATCGGGAAGTTTATCATGCAGCAGGACAATGATCCAAAGCACACTGCCAACAAAACAAAGGACTTCATCAGGGGGGAAAATGGAAGGTTTCAGACTGGCCAAGTCAATCACCTGACCTTAATAGAGTCAACAGAGCATGCATTTCACCTCCTTAAGCACCCCTGAAACAAACAAGAACTGAAAGATGTTGCGGTAAAAGCCTGGAATAGCAAATTAAATCACAAATGAAGAATGCGACAGTTTGGTGATGTCGATGGGTCGCAGGCTTGAGGCAGTTATTGCAAGCAAGGGCTATGCCACCAAATATTAAATGTTATTTATTTTAAGATTATTTGTTTCTTTACTTTTGCTCACCTAAGAATGCTGCGGTCTAATACAAACGGTGATATGTCCTAAGTTGTTTAACACATCTAGATGTGAATACCAGGAACTATTGTCTTTTGATCCTAAACCCAAATGTCTTCTGTGAACAACAAAAACAAAGGAATTTGCCTTACCGTACTGTTGGAGTGGATTGTATGTGTGTTTGAGATTTCTTTCTGTTCCTAATATTTAAGCACTGAAATCTCTCTACTCCCACATTCCTGCACATAGTTTGTGGGTCTTCAGAATATATGTCAAATTCTGACTGGACCAAAATCTAAACACAGCAGCTTCCAGTATCTTCTAAATCCTGGTGTGGTGACGTGTGGTTTAACCATAGTCTGTATATTACTGGACAAAGCCAGCCCGCAGATTTGAATGGAGAGCAGTGAAGCCAGTTTTGGACCAATAAAATACTACTACAGGGCTACTTCCTGTTGGCACCAGTGTCTACTGTGCATGATCACGCAGCATAAGCGTGGTTTAATGACAGAGCAACGGCAGAAGCACCGCAATTCTGGTAGCTGCACAGCTTCTCAGTGTGTTTGTCTAACTCATTTTTTCACTGTTTAATCAGCCCACCTACAGGGCTCATCTGCCAAACACCAACGCAGCGTCACTGATGGCCGAATAGTGTTTTTAGATTCACAGAGGGTTTGCAATCTAAGTAATACAGTTACATCTCTCATGTGTGACGGGATGTCACAGGGTTTTGATGTAATTTTTGGGCCTACATGGAACCGTCCATGCAGGCTTTGGTCGGCTTCACTGTTTCAACTGTATCTTACCCCTTTGGGTTTAACTTGACTCTTAATTTATTGTCAGTGGTAATATGATCAGAACAGCTGATTTCAGGACCAATTGATGGCGGGAAACCAACTAACTAAACTTCATCTTCTGCCTGAAATCAAGGAGCCATGTTTCTAAACGGCCTTAGCGACAGTAACTAAGGGGGCGGGGCGGGGCGAGACATCGCGAGAACACTCCGCGGGATCCCGCAGCGCTCCTGTATCTCAGCCTGAAGAGCTCCGAGACCAGAATCCAGACTCAGTCCAGGACAACACGGTCCACCAGTCACAGCGGAGACCTGCAGGACGATGGAGAACCAGAACCCGGACCAGAGGAGCCAAACAGCAGCCTCGTGCTCTGATAGCACCGATGTTCAGGTCAGTGTTCATGACTTCATCACGAGACTAAAGACACGAGGAAGAGTCTCGAGGGTCCGTGTATCATCCGTTCATTCTGTTGTTAGAGATCAGAGCCTGAAAACCCGCTCCAGGGTTTGTGTTGACGTGGTTTGATTTCCAAAGTGTCTCCGTGATTCCTGTTTTCATCTTGAAGAGAGGAAGCTGAAAGAAAAACTCACGAGCGTTTCTCTTTTCTTTGTTTTGGGGTTTCCCGCGCGGTGCAGCAAGCGTTGTGTCGGGAGCGCGCAGAACCAAAAATGAAGCAGTCATTATATTTACTTGTAGGTTCGGGAGTTTATCACAAGTTCCAACAATGTAGGAGAAGAAAACAGTAGAAGGAGATGCCAAATAACAAGAAATAATGACAAAATTACAAATAAATTGGGATAATTCTGATTTATATTGTGTTTTTCTAAATGGAGGCGTTAAAAAAAGCTATTAATCAGGGGAAAGATACCTCACTAGGCAGGGATGGACTAGGATATAAATTATTTAAAATTCTGGAGAAATGATAAAAGAAGTTCTATCCCTTATTTATAATGTGTAAGAGAGTGGATGTCTTCCTAAAAATTGGAAACATGCTCTTATCATTCCAACTGTGAATGTCTTACAGACATTAGTGATAATAGTTCTTACATTAACCTATGTTTTATGCAAAATTATGGCGCGCATGATAACAGACTTTAAAGAAGCAGTTGTAGCAATGTTTCTGGACATTGAAAAAGCCTATGACATGCTTTGGAAGGAGGGGTTGCTAAATGCATTTTATGATGCTGGAATCAGAGGAAGAATGTTAACTGGATTAAGATTTTTTTATGTAACAGGACAATTCAGGTGAGGATGGGAAGTGAATTATCAGGGGAGCATAAGTCCAGTTCTTATTGACCATATATTAGTCAATGGTATGTTTAGTAGAGTGGGAAAAGAATTGTTTGCAGATGATGGGGCCATCTTTCCTACATTTTTGGCCAAATACAAGATGCATTGGAGAAAGTAACTGAATGAAATTAATGACTGGGGCTTTAAAATATCTACAGAAAAAACAAAATACATGATATTTGGACATAAGAGGAAAATGTCAAACCGGATGTTACAAATGTATAATGGGACTATTGAAAGAGTGAAATACTTTAAATATTAGACACATAGTGTTAAAACTCTATAGCTCTGAGTGTGTGTGCTCTATCTAACTGGCTCAGCAGTAGCAGCAGTACCACAGTGAGACAGCAAGGCAGCATCAAAAACACCAGCTAAGGAAAATGAAGAAGCAGAATTAGTGGGGAATTGTGTTACAAAACATACATCAATATAGTCCATCACAGTAAGAATGCCCTGTTTATAGCACACAGCACAAAAGACACCAGCTTATTCCACAAAGTCAGGTTATGGTTAAAATGGCATGATCAGCAGAGGGCATGTCTAGGACACAGAGAGGGCGAGCAGTGCAGACAGAAAACAGACAGGAGTCAAGAAACAGTCATCAGTGATTATCCTTAATCAGTATTAATCATTCTTAATCTTTGTACATTACATGAACTCAAATCTTGCTAACTGAGCATCATACTTCAGTTTAGCACTGAACTAACAAATGCAATCCCTGAATACTTTGTTTTAATTGTTGTCAGACACCTGTGCTCCTTCTCACACAACTGAAAAACATTTGGTCTGATGGAGGTTGCAGTTGCAACCCTGAGTAGCTACAGCTTCAAGATGGGCATCAGTTAGTAAGCCTGGACCTGTACTTTTCACCTCATAGTTGAGAAAACAATCTCACGCAGATATCTGCTTCCAAAAGGGCACATTACCTGACTGAACACTTGGACAGTTCTGGGAAGGATGGAGATAAAGGAAGTCTCTGAAATAGTCCAATAAGATCTACTTTTCCCTCTGCCTCCCTGAGTGTGGTTTTCAGTTCAGTGTTACACTGCAAGTCACAAAGCGCCATTTGCAACAGACAACAAACATGAAATGTTCATATTTCAAGAACTTGCTTCACAGTGCCTGTTGGTGTATAATGCAGTGCAGCACCTGCCTTTTCCTCTTCTAACTTTCTCTGTACCAGCGCCATCAGTCCGTTAATGCCTTCCAGTCGGCTCCGTGGCAATCCAGTGTCACTTTGAACTTCTCATTAATAGCCTACTCCTGATGAAAATTGCGATCGGTTTTATCTGTGATTTCATCGGGCGCCACAGAGTATGCAGTGAAATCTTTAACTTTATCACATTACTCATCATAAAGGTGACTTGTAACTAGCTGATCCGCTCCGCCACCGTGTTTGTCGATCGCGCTTATAGTTATATTGTTGAACTTGTTCTTATTTTCTGCACATAAAATATCTGCAACTTTTAACACACACTGCCCTTCATTGGTGATTAATTCACTAACCACATAACATAACTTCAGTTTCAGCATCCTTCTTGGCGTTAAATACTTTGCTGTGATGTAAATCTTCTCTGTAGCTGCGTGGCTGTTGTCCTCTCGTCTCCCTGGTAACCTACTTCTCGCTCGTTCCTCTCCGTGTTTAGTCCAGTAATGACACTTGATATATTATATTCCTTTAAAACGGTAACTTTTCCGTTGCATATCAGGTAGCTTTTCTATAAAACTCCACAAAAACAGCCTAGCGTACTGCTTTGTCCATCTTTCTTGAAACAGCCTGTGTTTATCATCCACCTTTTGGCATAACACCATTTTGATGTGGACAGCAGCATCTTTCTTCTTCAGCCTACAGCGGGCATTTGAGGCCACCTTACCTTTCACCTTAGCCATGACACACGAAATGCATTTAAAACGTTTTTATTTATTTTTTTATTATTTCAAATTGTTAGCTCGAATTGGTGTTAAACAGCTATAAAATTTAATTAAATTAAATAATTTGACCGGACAGATTTTGTAATCACCTCGCGGGCCAGACCGAGGGGGAGGGAGGGCCAGATGTGGCCCGTGGGCCTGGAGTTTGAGACCCCTGTCCTAAGGTGTGTGGCTAGGCGTGATTGGGGGGCTGATAGTGAATCTATGACGATGATATAGAGTATATGGGTCAGCAGCCCCTTCAGTGATTAGCCAACTTGATAGTCCAAGCAAAACCCCTTGAAGTATGTAGTGGGCCGTTTCGTACAACTCCAATACCGACACTACTAATAGGAAAGAGGAGGAAAGAGTTCAAATTAATTTACAGTATGCGTCGCCGAAATAATAAATAGGTCAGTAAAAGAAATGTGGCGAAAGGGAGAGCATATTACTCAGTACAAAGAATTGTAGAGAAAGGAAAATGTGCTTTTAGATGTAAGTGAAGAGAGAGAGAGAGTAGTTTTATCCAGATTGATGTTTTGGCATTGTGGGCTGGTGCTGACTGGTAAACATCCTGATGGAAAATGTGAATGTGGAGACAAGAAAATGGTGAAGCATGTATTAGTTCATTGTAGAAAGTACTTTCGTCAAAGGAAGAAATTGTTCAGAGACCTGGGAGGAATTGGAGAAACTATATTTAGCATAGCACTCTACTTAATTTGGATTGTTGGAACAAAATGAAGAAACTGATCCTACCTACATGAAACTGGATTATACAGAAGGATATAGACAATCACCACTAACTAAGATGTGAATAACCAACAGTAGAGGGCAGCAATACGCCATGGACACGTCTAATCTGCTGGAAACAAGAAGAAGAGGAGTTTTTCACAGCGACAAACAGCAATATTATTCTCTGAAATATTGTCATGAATGTTTCAGCTCTAAATAGTATTTTTGGAGATTCTTTATAGAGATCAGAGTCAGTCTAGAGTTTAGTTTTCCTCCACTGGTCCAGCTGGTGGAAGTTTTCCTATTTAAAATATTTCCACACTGCAGACATGCACAAATTAGCCATGTCCTGTCATAAACGGAGAGCAGTTTGTGACACGCGGCCATCCATCGTCAACCACTTATCCTGCGTACAGGGTCACGGGAGCTGGAGCCAGTCACAGCTGACATCGAGCGAAAGGCGGGGTACGCACTGGACTGGTCGCCAGTCCATCGCAAGGCCACACATAGACAAACAACCACTTGTGTGGAAATATAATTCACTCAGGATCTAGTGGCGTCTTCTTACTTAGTTTCAGTTTCCAGTGTTGGCAATATAAGGCCCATTGGCTCGCCTCTTGAGGGCTCGCTCTTAAACTCTGGGGGTTTGCTTAGGGACCATCAATACATTACTGTTATAAAAGCCATGTGGAAAAATCTATTTTTTTCAAAAGCGTCAATGTCATGTGACCTAATGACTCCACCCAATGCCGAATTGTACTAATACATTGGGTAAACGTGACACCCCCCTCCATATAAAATTATAGTGCATTTTTTATTATATAGATATCTATTCATTTTTTTTTTTTTTTGAAAAACAGCTTGTTTTGTTTCAGCAGTCCCCGAAACAGAAGCTATTGGGGGGGTGGGGGGGACCTCCAAGTTCTTCTTTTCCCAGGGCCTCCAAATCACTAAAACCGCCACTGAATACTGATATGGTTCTTGTATCGTAATTCAGCCTAATTTTACCGGGATATGATATTTGGTAGATATTGCCCAGCCCTAGTTGGGTCTGATGTTCTGCGTGCTTGTGTGCTGAAGCTGAGGTGGGCGTAGTGTGACGACCAGCAGGCAGAGTGAACTCCTTTTGTGGGTTTTTGTTTTCTTTAGTTCTTTCACAGCCAAGCTTAACTTTCCTGTGTTTGAAATGTTTAGTCCTAAATATGTATTGTATATGATGCTTTGCATGTTTGTCAGTAATAAAAGGTAAGTAAATAAGTTGGAGGGTAACCCTTTCTATTGGCTGGTTGTTGAGAGTGGAGAATTTAACCACCAGTTTCTTTTGTTTTGGAGGGGTTGAGGTCAAGACAGTTCTAGCACCACTCAGAAAAACTGTCCATCTCAGTCTGTAGTAGGGCTGAAACCATTCATCAATTAAATTGAATACTAAAATGCATCAATGCAAATTCTTTGCATCA